CCAACATCCCCTGGGCTCCCCCCGACACCTACCACCCGGCCATCCCGGGGGTCACACCGTCTCCTTCCACCCTGGGTGCCACCGAGGCCACCCCATCCCCTCCACCGGGTCCATCTCCTGCACCCCACATCCCTTGGGCCACCCCATCATCTCCACCACGTCCCCACCTCCTTCTGCTCCACTTGGGCCACCCCATCATCCTCCACCGGGTCCCTGTCTTGCACCCCACATCCTCCTGGGTCCCCATCCCCTGCACCCCATGTTCTCTGGGCACTCCACGTCTCCATGGGGTCCGTCTCCGACACCCCACATCCCTCTGGGTCACCCCATCCCCTCCACTGGGTCCATCCCCTCCACCAGGTCCATCTCCTGCACCCCACATCTCCTGAGCCACCCCACATCTCCTGAGCCACCCCATCTCTGCCACCAGGTCCCCATCCCCTGCACCCCACGTTCTCTGGGCACCCCACATCTCCACGGGGTCCATCTCCTGCACCCCCACATCCCCTGGACCACCCCATCATCTCCACCACATCCCCACCTCCTTCTGCTCCCCTGGGCCACCCCAACTCCTCCACCGGGTCCATCTCCTGCACCCCACATCTCCTGGACCCCACATCCCCCTGGGCCATCCCACCTCCACAGGGTCCATCTCCTGCACCCCACATCCCTTGGGCCACCCCGTCATCTCTACCACGTACCCACCTCCTTCTGCTCCACCTTGGCCACCCCATCCCCTCCACTGGGTCCATCTCCTGCACCCCACATCCCCTGGGCCACCCCGTCATCTCTACCACGTACCCACCTCCTTCTGCTCCACCTTGGCCACCCCATCCCCTCCACTGGGTCCATCTCCTGCACCCCACATCCCCTTGGGCCACCCCATCTCTGCCACCAGGTCCCCATGCCCTGCACCTCATGTTCTCTGGGCACCCCCACATCTCCACGGGGTCCATCTCCTACAGCCCAAATCCCCCTGGGTCACCCCATCTCTGCCACCAGGCCCCCATGCCCTGCACCCCATGTTCTCTGGACACCCCACATCTCCATGGTGTCCATCTCCTGCACCCCCCATCCCCTTGGGCCACCCCATCTCTGCCACCAGGCCCCCATGCCCTGCACCCCATGTTCTCTGGACACCCCACATCTCCATGGTGTCCATCTCCTGCACCCCCACGTCCTCTGGGCCACCTCATCTCCACCTCATCCCCCATCTCCTCCTGCACCCCACATCCCCCACCGGTGCCCCATCTCCTCCACTGCACCCCACATCCCCTTGGGCCATCCCATCTCTGCCACCAGGTCCCCATCCCCTGCACCCCATGTTCTCTGGGCACCCCACATCTCCACAGGGTCCGTCTCCTACACCCCACGTCCCTTGGGCCACCCCATCCCCTCCACCGGTTCCATCTCCTGCACCCCACATCCCCCTGGGCCATCCCACCTCCACAGGGTCCATCTCCTGCACCCCACATCCCCCTGGGCCACCCCATCTCTGCCACCAGGCCCCCATCCCCTGCACCCCACGTTCTCTGGGCACCCCACATCTCCACTGAATCCCCCATCTCCTGCACCCCACGTCCCCCTGGGCCATCCCACCTCCACCAGGTCCATCTCCTGCACTGGGTCCATCTCCTGCACCCCACATCCCCCTGGGTCACCCCATCCCCTCCACCGGGTCCATCTCCTGCACTGGGTCCATCTCCTGCACCCCACATCCCCCTGGACCACCTCATCTCCACCTCATCCCCCATCTCCTCCTGCACCCCACATCCCCCACCGGTGCCCCATCTCCTCCACTGCACCCCACATCCCCTTGGGCCATCCCATCTCTGCCACCCGGCCCCCAT